TAGGGGAAACAAATGGAGAGAGAAGAGGCTGAAAAATGTAAAAGTGGGCAAGTCTGTGCGTAAAGTAGTTGAGGTTTATCTGCTGAGCTGATTGGTGAGGCCATGTATCTGAGTTAAAAAGGCTTAAGAGAGTTACTTGGCATAATTTCTCCATCTCCAATGATTTACTACTGAAGTGCAAACATCAATTTTGGACTCTCTCCTGAGAAACGTTTAACAAAGTGAGTGAACTTCTGGTACCCAGATACCTTTCGAGATTTGCCAAACTTTGATAGCTCTTTAATAAACCGATGCCTGAAGTTTATCTTAGGCATTTTTATTTCTATTCAGGCAACACATCCATTAGTAAATATGCAGATGTAAAAATGATTTTCCTCTTTACTTCTCTATTGTGATACATCTTGGAATTGTTGAGAAATGCACTCTATTGTTAAGGCTATTTGTGCCGGGTGTGCTAATGCACTCTTTGATTGAGTGAATTAGCAGTCATAACAATCTGGCAGTCTGGCCATAGAAGTGTGCTCAAATTGATTTGTGTTATGGCTGGACTGGAAAATCTAGTGTTAGTTGTTTTTTGCCCTGGGGCATTGTTTGTACCAAACTCTACTTTTCATTTAATTTTCCAATACATTTTGAAAGATTGAAATGCTTGTGAATCAACATTTGATCCACTTGCATTATTTAAAAAAAAATCTGAAAGTAATTTCAGATTCCAAAAAACCTTGCTTTCAATTAGAGTAAACATAATTAGAGTGACGTCGTGCTCAGAATGGTAAATCTCCCTTTGAATCTATTAAGCATGTTATCTCCTTGTCCTGCCACTGAAAGGCATTCAGACTATATGTGGGACACACATCTGTATATTTCAATGCATGCTTCAAGTAGTACTTGGGAAAAATTAAAAGAATAAAATGACAAAGATCTGTTCTCATTGCCTGGTTATGTCCAAATTGTTGCTGTTCACTTAGTGATGCCATAAAAAGAGGACAGTCATGGGTTTCAGGAATATTTGAGATATTGAACAGATGTATCCAAATACATCTCACCTTTAATCATTTTAGCTTTTATATCTGTGAAATACACATTTTCATTCTTTGAAAATAGCTATCTATTTCTATAGTGAAACTCTAAGAAGTAAAGACATGATTTCTTCTGGCTTTGTCAATATTTGTATCTTTGTTACAATCTTCTGCTTTGCAGTCGTTTACCAGAATTATAATGCAGCATGAATAAACCTAAAAAATGACTATTGATTACAGAGAAAGCTTTGTGAAATCATTTAGTCAGTTTCCCCACTTGAGAAATCAGTAAATAAAATAGGTCAATAGATAAGGACGGAATAGCTGCAATACAGTGCCATGTCTCCCTGAGTTATAAAAGGGTCAAAAATAAATCCCTATAGAATTCGTTTTTATACTCATAAAATCAAATGATACTTACCAATTCCCAACTATAAGTCCATCTTTTTACAGATTTATTCTTCTTTTAAAAAACCCCACAGGTTTTGAAAGTATTTTTTTATGTGTCCCTCCTTGGCACTGCCTCTTTTAACCAAATAGGATGCTCCCACCATCGGGCTAAAGTGCCTGTTATCATCCAGGTATTTACAGGGACTTTAGCTGCAAAGCCACTTTGTATTTTCTTACTGTCTCCTGCAACCTTACAGCTCTTCTTACAACTGCATTTCATACTGCACTGAACTCTGCATCCCGCGCCGATTTTTGTTAAGTAATGGATGATGAGACCTGCGACCACTCTCCGTATTAGTTCTCTTTCGTATGTACGCACTGATCTAGTCTGGGGGGGAAGGGACGAGAGGAAAGAAGGGGAGGGGCCAGCAGAGGGCAGGAGGAGGGAAGAAAATACCTTCCCTGAACTGGTACAAGCTAAGCTTCAAACGATATCCTAGGAAAGAAATTAAAGACTTCTTAATTAGTGCAGCAATTAAGCTTTCTTGGTAGCATTTTAATCAGCACAGGCCCTATCAAAGGACAAACAGAACGATTTGCAGGTCTTTGAATTTTAAACAGTCTTATTGATTTCAGCACAATACGTCTTCACAAAACACAAGGAGAATTTTCTAATATCAGTTACAGTACTTTGAGTTTTGCTTATGCAAATTGAGTGAAGGTTGGGGAAGATGAGATGCAGAGGACCTGAAACAACAAGCCATGTAAAACAATAAACAAGACAAAAGCTCTGAAGCTAAAGATGTAATAGAGTGAAAATCTGAAATATTTCTAAATTGGTTTATCAGCTGTTGTTAAATACTCTTTGACTTCATCACTGGTAACATTTCTCAAAAAAGGAAAAGAATGCTTCACATTTTTCAAGGATTTTCTTTCCTACAAATTTTAATTTGCACTATATGACTTTCCTAATTCTATTGTTTGATCAAAGGAGTGATAGTTCCTTGAAATGGCTTAGAGACCTGAGGTGCATGAGGTGGGATTGGGGGGCTAGGACTGCTTTTAGGTGTGATGCAGGCCCCTAAGCCCTGCTTCAAATTAGGGCACAGCTCAGTGATACAGGGTTCCCTGTGGAACAACAACAACAACAAAAATTGGAGATGGCTTTGAAACGTGGTTGGGGTTATGTCTTGGTCTAGTGCCACTGCTTCCTGCCTGTGGCTTCAGAGTGTCCTAGGTTTTGGGTGACTGATAGTTTAAGGAAATGTGACAAACTAGAATAGTAAGGGCAGACTTTTAACATTTAACTACCATTTTTTTCCATTTGAGTGACTACAATTTTTAAATAAAGATTTGTAATTCAGCATTTTAAAACCATGCCTGTTTATTAAAGTTAAGTAGGCAGTTCCAAAATTAGCTTTTTATAGCTTTACACTTTGTCCCTTGCTCATTAGCATAGTAATCTGGCATTCTGAAAAAAAATATTCTACAGCGTGGTGTGTAAACACTTAAAGAAGTGTTTTGATGTGTGTGATACATATTTATTTTTTACATTTAATTGAGGACTGATTTAAGGAACAAAAATTAGTTAAAGTAATTTGTTGGAAATACTAAAATGCCTTGGATAACCAGGCCAAACAGCTGTGTAAACTTGAGCTATCCTTGTGGAAGTTGATGTACTTTTCTGCAAGTTTTCTCAATACTCATAAATCAGGGAAGCCTTCTGATATAACTGCTATGCCCTCAAAAGTTTAGCATAAACTTAGACTAGTTAGTTCAGTAGTGTCACATTTCTCTGTAGAGAGTTCCTGCACTTTTTGACACTAAACTTCAAAGAGTTTAAAGGATTAAAATGATAAAGAGAAAAGTGATAATAATTTCAACATCAAAACACCAGATTTCTCAACACTGTGAACCTGCTACTAGTAGTTTATTTTTAAAAATCTGTCAAACGCTATCACATTGTTTCATATCTTGTGGAGTCACTGGACATGTGTAGACAGGTTCAAAACCTAACTATTTCAGATTCCTAGAGATGTAAGCAGCAAACAGAGGTGACCTATGCTCAAAGCATATCTTGGTCAAAAATCCTTGAATAAATAGCTTTATGCAACAAGTTAGAAAAGGGGAGAAAAAGACAGAGGAAGAAAAGAAAAGGAGTCGTTCTACATACACTATCTACTGTAGTTTTCAAGATTAACTGCCCTTTCTGCCTTTACAGCTCAAGCAGTGAGCTTAGGTTTTGTTCTCCTGTTATTTACAAAACACATTACTGACAAACTGAAAAGAATTTTCTTAAAATATTTCGATACTTTCCAAATATGAACAAAACCTCAGAACTATTGTGTTACTTATCTATCACGCTAGCAACCAGTCTTGGGTCTTAAAAGATATGGGTTGCTTACTGTTCAAGACAGGTGACTTAATTACAGAGTTTTAGGCAAGAAACAACAGTGTGTTGTTTTGTTCTACTTTCCAAATCTTTAAAGATGCCGCTCTCTGAATCCTTTTAGGTAGAACAAATGTTTCTGACCTGGCTTTCGGGTGAATATGAAGTTATTCTGAACAATCCAGCTCATGGAAAGCATTTATTTCCGCTATATATTAGGAAATAAGGAATTCAGTTCAGAGCGTGTCATAATGCTTAAGCGATTTCAGACTGATTTTCTTCCCACAACTTGATAACTGTCCTGAAATTCTATCTTTTTTATACGTAGTAGAGAAATTTTAAAAGATCAAATGCATTTAAAAATTACGTTTTGCTTACATGTGAATTTTCCTCAGAACAGTTTCTTAACAATCATGAAGTAGGGATGTGTTTCGTGTATATCTCATTGCGAAAAGGCGCGAGATACACCCTAAACCTTTGGAGGAGCGCTCTGGCTGCTCCTTTAAATTGTCAGGCGACGGCTTAGACGCTTTGGGGGGAGATTTTTTTTCGAGTCCTCGCGGAGAAACGGGGAATCGGGCACGCATTCTAACGGTAGTTCCCGACGAGGAGTGCAGGACGGCCTCTGCCTGCGCCTCCGCGGCCCACCCCAGTGCCGGCCCCCCTCGCCTCCCCTCTGCCCGGCTCCGCGCGCCTCCCCCTCCCCGCCCGCCCTCCCTCCCCTCCCTCGCGCGCTCCCCCGCTCCCCGTCTCGCGCTCCCGGAGTCTCAGCTCCGAGTTCCTGGTTGGATAATTTGGGTTAATACTAGTGAGTGAGGTTTTTGCGGCTTCAAAGGGTATTTCAAGTTTCCGGAGCTCCTCCCCTCTGCACCGTGTGACAACAACAACTCGTCCAGCCGGCAGCCTGCACTTTTCAGCTCATTTTCTCTCTGTCATTCCCCTCTCAATCTTTGATCAATGTACTTGCCGGGGAGCACCCCGGCCCCTCCAGCCTGCTCCTTCTCACCTCCGTCCTTAACTTTGCGCTAGAGCGGACCCACGCCGCGCGCCCGCCGGCCTCCCGCCCCGCCCCGGCCGCCGGCTCGCGGCCCCGGAGAGGACTCCATTCCGACTTGCGGGACACTTTTGTGCGCTTCCCGGCGGGCGCCCCTCGGCTCGCGCTCCCGCGCCGCGCCTCCTCGCCCCGCTCCGTGTCCCCGCGCCCTTCTCCGGCGCGTCCCCTCCTGGAGTTGCGGCGCCCGCGGCTGCCCCGCGCCTGGCTCCTTCTCCCCGGCTCTGCGTCCCCTCCCGGGGGTGTGTGCGTGGCAACTTTGCCCCTCGCTTCTGCTCCTCTGATTGCCCTTATATGTGACCATGGCAGTGCCGGCGGCTTTGATCCCCCCGACCCAGCTGGTCCCCCCGCAGCCCCCGATCTCCACGTCTGCTTCCTCCTCTGGCACCACCACCTCCACCTCCTCGGCGACCTCGTCTCCGGCTCCGTCCATCGGACCCCCGGCGTCCTCTGGGCCAACTCTGTTCCGGCCGGAGCCCATCGCTCCCGCGGCGGCGGCGGCGGCGGCGGCGGCGGCCACAGTCACCTCTCCCGGCGGCGGCGGCGGCGGAGGCAGCGGAGGCGGCGGTGGCAGCGGTGGCAACGGCGGCGGCAGCGGAGGCGGCGGCAACTGCAACTCCAGCCTGGCGGCCGCGAGCAACGGCGGCGGCATCAGCGCTGGCGGCGGCGGCGCCTCGAGCACCCCCATCAACGCGAGCACCGGCAGCAGCAGCAGCAGCAGTAGCAGCAGCAGCAGTAGCAGCAGCAGTAGCAGCAGCAGCAGCAGCTGCGGCCCCCTCCCCGGGAAGCCAGTGTACTCAACCCCGTCCCCAGTGGAAAACACCCCCCAGAATAATGAGTGCAAAATGGTGGATCTGAGGGGGGCCAAAGTAGCCTCCTTCACCGTGGAGGGCTGCGAGCTGATCTGCCTGCCCCAGGCTTTCGACCTGTTCCTGAAGCACTTGGTGGGGGGCTTGCACACTGTCTACACCAAGCTGAAGCGGTTGGAGATCACGCCGGTGGTGTGCAATGTGGAACAGGTTCGTATCCTGAGAGGACTGGGCGCCATCCAGCCGGGAGTGAACCGTTGCAAACTCATCTCCAGGAAAGACTTCGAGACTCTCTACAATGACTGCACCAACGCAAGGTAAAGAGCCCAGAGCACCCTCTGCCGCCGCGGCCCCTTCCTACCCCGCCCCGTGCCCTGGCCTCGCTGCCTTCCTGGGGCCGCTCTGCGCGCCGCGAGCCGCGCGCACCGGTGAGAGCGGCCTCTGCTGTCCTCCCCTCTCCCCGCTCCTCTCCTCCCCTGGGTCGCGGGCCTAGCCGCGCCCGACCCCCTGAGAAGTTGGCGCCTCACCCTGCCCACCGCTAGCTCTTGCGCCCGGGTCCGCCCCTTGCTCGCCCGGGTGCCCAGGCTTGGCTGCGGCGGGACTCGGGAGCCCCAAGCTCCGGGTGGAGGGGCCGGGAAGGAAGGGGACGGCGCCTCTCCGCGGAGCCACGGACCCTTCCCGGGCGCACCGGGTCTGGGAACCTCTCTGGGCTCCTGGGCCCTCTGCAGGTCCAGGGCTCCACCGTGAGCCTCTGGGCATCTCCTGCGGGCGCGGCGAGTCGGGGGCCGGTCGTGACCCTGCCCTGTCCCACAGGGTTCGTGGAGCGGGGACTGGCGCACCGAACGAGGGGCCCGCTAGGAAGTCGAGGGAGTGGGCTGGCAGCCGAGGAGGGCACTCTGAGGTCAGGAGGGGGACGACACGCGCGGCCGAGAGGCCCAGGGCAATCCCGGGGCACGAGCAGGAGTTCACTCCTGAAGTCCCGAGGGAGCGTGTCGAAGGGAGGGGTCTGTGTGTGCGCGCATGTGTGCGTGTAACAGCGTGTGAGCGTGCAAGGGAAATAAAGGGGTGCGTTTGCCCTGGGGCAGATGCAAGGGCACCAGCCTGTTTTCTTCTAAAAGTGAAGGGGACCGGGTGCCGTGGCCTCTTGGAAGCATAACCCGAGAAATGGAAAAGGAAGACCACAATGCGCTTGCTCCCTTCTCCTTTCCCTCTCTCTCACTCGTCCCAACTCGTTTTTTTCATTTGTTTCTTTTCTTTCCTCCTTTATTCTTTTTAAGGTTAGCTCACGCAAAGAGCAAGTGCACGTTTTGCACGGGGATGCTCTGTTGTCCTGAGTTCTCTGCCCTGGCTCTACCAGCCCGGCAAAGCGCGGCCACCCGGGAGGCCTCCAGACCGTCCTCAGTCCAACCAGTTTTATACTAACCAACGCTCAGTGGGGGAGGATCTACCGAGAGGGGGCGGGAGTGGGGCAAGCTGGCAGTTTCGGGGTGGAAATGACCATCTCACCCCCTTTCACAGTTTAGCTTTGTCCTCATCACGCGCTGTAGGAAAGCTTAGTGAGAAAAGTTCAGAGTTTCCAAGAGAAAGCGAACAGGGAAAGTTGGAAACCTGAAGCAGACACGTGGGGACTGCGCGCAAAATTTGCGCGAAAACTTCGGTACCTTCCGAATAAGTTTAAAGAGTGAAGGAAGGAAGTTGGTGTATGCTCCTCACATTGCTAGAGAAACTGAAGTGGGTAGAGAATCGGGACTAGAAGGGAGCGAGGGTGAAAATCCGCTAGCCCTTTCTTCTTGGAGAAAGAAAGATTGCTCCTTAGTTCCTAGCAGATTGCAGAAGGAAAAGGACTCCAGCTCCAATTCAACAGACCTTATTGTGACCTGTCCCAAAATTCCTTTCTTTGCATATTTACCATTCTTTCCTGAAGTCGGGCGTGTATGTCTGGGTTTTCAACTATCATTTAGACTATCTGGGGTAAATGTGTGCGTGTGTGAGCGCGCTTGTGTATGTATTCGAGCGCGTGCCCAAATGTATGGACAGGTGGCAGTAGAGATTGCGGGGGTGGGGGCAGCCTCACTAAACGTCATTTACTCAGATAATTGGAGTCTTTGGCTATGCAAAATACAGAAGGTTTGTCCTAAATCTATTGTTAAAACTATCTGAATTAGGACAAAGTATTATTCTGGAATTGTTAGGAAAAATGCTAGCAAAAATTAAAGTCATTTCAGACACAGCTGCTATTAAATTGTTTATTTGATATATATAGTAATGAAACATCCATTCTCCTCTGAATCCTTTTTATGTTTCTTAGGGTACATGCTGTCCTAGGTAGTCAGTGACCATTTTAGATATACATATGCACACCTATACACAATTGCTCCAGAAAACTTCCTTCAATGAGAGCATTATAATAAGTGTTCTAGTCATTGTAAAACTTGATTTTTGTTGTCTGAATTTTTGCCTAGCCTTTGAATTGAAGTCCTCATCATATAGTTGAAGAACAGTCCTAAAGTTATTAGCAAAAAATCCTTGCATGTCCCTTTTCCCAGATTAACAACAGCTCTGGAGTTTACATTTGCAGAGTGAAGCTAAATGTAATCCAGTGCAACTGTTTATCACTTCAAAAATATCTCAGCACTACTCTAATTATATTTCAATCACCTGGTCTTAATGCTTGACAAATGTGTTGTCTAAAAATTCTATTTCAGATAATTTTTAAGTGGAATGTTGGAATTTTGTGGCTTCACTATTGGATTTTGATTTTCTGTCAACTAAAAAAGCTTACAGAAACTTAAGTATATCCAGATAATGTAGTCATTACCTGAAAAGATGGGTAGATGCATGTATATAGCTGTGTAGGCTTTCCTAATTATGCCACTAAGGAAAATTTAAAAATTTATAATATGACTTCCCTTCACCAAAATATACTGTATGTGTTGAATGAATTATTATTTGTTATGGTAATTATGAGTGTTATTGCTTTTTTTTACTTTGAAACTTAAATGTTTTGCATCTTGATTTTAAAACCAAGAAATTACTTTCCACTCAAGTCTAATTTCTGCTTTTGCTATTAAGATTTGTTTTCATTCACCTGGATATATTGATTCCTTTCATTCTAGTTTCTTTATGCTTTAGCTAGTTAACAGGCTAAGGGAGTATTTATACAGAGTATAAGAGAAACTGTGCAAGATGGCAAACTTTATAAAATTACAGGTATGTGTGTATGCATAGTGTGTGTCAAATATGAAATCCTAGCATTCTCAGCTTTTTACAGAAATTGTATCTAATTATAAATCTTAATAATATTTAAATACCAGAAACTCAAAATGATGCTAAACAAAGGTTGATAAACTTGCTCAGAGTGGCTCATAAGTTAGCAGCAAACCTTAGAGTAGATTTAATTTGCTTGAGGCTATTGTATTAGTATGCTATCTGTGAAAAGTAGAGTAAATGTTGAAGCCATCTGTCACTACCACAAGGAGATGAAAAAGAGACTATCACCTGCTAGATAGTAAAGCTGAAAATCATAGGTTCCCCAAAACACAAAGGAAAATGTAAGGAAATATATCCAAAAGTTATCAAAGGGCAAAGTCTGACCTTGGTCAGCTTCCTCCAATTCTTATTTTAAAACTAAACATTAGTCGCATGAACTTGGTTATTGCAACAGAGGTCAGTTAATTAACTGCTAACCATTAAATAACAACAAAAAAGAAAAGTAATTATGTACATGGTCAAATCTCTGTTTGCATGAGTCAACTGCTTGTTTGCAGAGTTGGGTCAGGATTCAGTTTTCAATGAATTCAAGTAATACAAAGGAACTCTTGTATTATGCTGTGTAAAATGCTTATTTGTTTGATTATTGTCAGAAGATGATTTTGTCTCAGGATCTTTCAAATCAGATTGTGATTTAGTTTCTAAGCAGCCTTAGATCTGTAAAGGTTTTTTTTTTTTTTTTTTTTTTTTTAAACTTGAATAGATTCCAGTTAGTTTCATCAGATGGTTTTACAAACATATGCATATATTCAAAAACACTATTCTTTTGTCTTGAAAGTTGATACTATTCATAGATAGAAAATTGAAAGTTTTACTAAGCCTGCTACATTTCAGTAGTGCTATCTTAATAAAATTTTAGTGTAAGTACAAAATATTTTCCCAATTCTTGGCTTTATTTTTCTTGTCAGGGGTTCGAATAAAGATAGCAAGCCAAAACAGTCTATATTTATTTAACATTTCTCCTGCTGCCTGCTTTTAATGGCACTGACATGCATTGATGGAGAAAGTTTCAACACAAACACTGATTCATTCACTTGTAACACATAATTATGGTATGTGGCACAGAGAAATTCAAGAATTACTTCAAATGAAGAGAGACTATGCTTTTGAAGTTTTTGTAGTATAGTAGATTAATGATTCCTATAAAGCTTAGTGTCTCATAACATTTCAGAAAGAATACAACATAATTATAAGACTAAGACATAAAATATGAAAGTTTGGGTCTACAGTTAATGTATCTTCTTTAAAAATATTTAGAAATTATAGTTTGATAGCTAATATGTGAATAGAAGCATATTCTGATCTAGGATTTACATTGCTCAATCTAATTACATTACAGAGTGCAAAATCTTAAGTCATTTGCATCAAATCTTTCAAACCTGTCGTTTTTCTTAGAATTAGCCTCCAATAGTCATTGTCAAAGTGCACATAGTTATGAAGATGCCTTATTTCTGAACTGTACAGTTTATTAGTTACTACTCAGACAAGAAAATTGATTTTCACAAATGGTATTTTGTGACTTTAAACATTGCATGTGTAGAATATACTACACGGCACGTTCCCCTTACCTCTGAGTTCCTTTACACATAATTTTTGCCATTTGATTGGGAATTTTAAAATTTTCACTTTTAGCCCAAGTCTGATATTTTTTGTTTAACTTAATACATTTCACTGAAGTTGCATGTAAATTACATACAAATATTACGTACTGTCTTTTTGCTTCACTACCTTCTCCCACCCCCTCCTTTGGAGATATGACACCCAATATTGATTAAAGTCTTGGCAGAATTTGAGCATAAATCATTCTTCTCTTTGGCGATTTACTACATGTGATTCACCAGCATACAAAAACATAATGTGCTTTATTGTTTCGTGTTTGATGCTTTGTTTGGGGAATGTAAGTGGCATTTGTAAATTAGCTTAATGTACAGCCACGTACTTATTTTAAGAATAATTTGTACTTTAACTATCAATTAGTATTATTTTACCTTTCTAAATTATTTTACTCAGTTATTTCATACAATTGCCTTTGTCAATCAGGTAAAGT